GTGTGTGTGTGGTGGCTCAGGGTGTTTTGGTTCTCGGTTCAGTAGCGTGTTGGGTGACTGACTGGGCATACCTACACGCCTTCACCGGTACGTCACATACACCACCACCCTACCCACTCACCTCACCTCTCCATCCTCACTCACCTTTGCTGTGTGTGGCTGGTGTTTCGTTTGTGTGTGGTGGTGGTGCAGTTTCGTGTTTGACTTTCGATGGACCGATTCCTGCTGTCTACACCGTTATATACGACACCTCGCCGTTGACCGTTAACGTTGACTCCACCTTCGGCTCTCGACTAACGTTCACACACGGCATCGACATCGACATACTCACGGTCGACATGGGCGCAGCAAAAGCGAACCCCTGACCAACGACAAGGGGACAGACGATGTCATCAGAAGACCCTCCTAATCCACCACTCCCAGCAGCTGAGGGCGCCCGAGGGTCTGATCCCACATGCACCCGTGGCGGACTCGCAGCTGCGGGTTCCGCTTCTTGAACCCAGCTCCCCACAATTTTTCCCGGCAAGCCGTTGGTTTAAAACCGCTGGATAACAGTCCCTTTACACCCAGCCTGAGCAGTCGCTCACATACTCCCCACTGCAAACCCGACACAGAAATCCGTAGCGAATCGTGTGACCTCACCCCTTCGCTACGTCTACATACTCACACACATCAGCCAGTCCGCAGAGGCAACCCGCCGGCCCGCCCGCTCGTCACTTTCCAAAGTCGGCACGCAAGGGGGCCAGCATATAATCGACTGTGAAGAAAAACACCCAGACTAGCGAGACAAGAAGCGCGACGGTAATGAAAATATTGGTCCAGCCCTTTTTCGTCAAACCGGCCACTTTCACTCCAGCCCCCGACGTCCCTGCACCCACCCATCAATGGCCACACCAGACAGACAGACAGAGACAGACCGAGAAGAGACTCACCTGCAGGATCGTGTGTGTGTGTGTGTGCGCGAGTGTGTGTGTGTGTGGCGTGCGTGCGTGCCTTTGGTCTGCTGTAGGGTGAGATATCTTTTGGCTTCCTTGAGCCCCTGGAACTCGCTGTACTTGGCCATGAAGCTAGCGTCCCGTTCGAAGGTCCCCAGCTTCCGGTCCACCTCAGCCATTCGCTGCTCACCTGATTTCTACACAGTCACTCACACACACACACACACAGCCAGTGCATATCTGTCATGAATGTCAGTCAGTCAGTCAGTCGGTCACCTCAACTTGCGGTTTCGTGGCTCTCATCTGGGAGGCCAGGCCTGTGTGCTTGGCGGTGCGGGAGAGGCGGACGGGCGGCGGGACGAAGGCTGACACCGCCGATGGCCGGCAGTTCTCTGCTGCCCCGAGAACGACGAGATAGACGACCAACAGCGTCGCTGATGAGAGCATGATGCTGCGCTTGGTGGGTGCAGCGCATTAGTCGTGGCGAAAGATCTCTCTTCGCAATGATGAGCTCGCATTGCTGAGCTCGCGTTTCCTTCCTCCTTCCTCGCTCCTCCTTTGGCGTCCCGGCAGCCGCAGGAAGCATAGGAGGACAGCGTGGATTGATCCCTGAACCTCCTGACATGGAGATGCTGATCGGCCTTTTCACAGCCTTCGCTGTGGTAAGCAAACCAGGGGGCACATGTGAAGGCCTTTCGGCTGCCTGAGTGCTCGTGTGTGTGTTTGGTTGTGTGGTTGTGCAGGTGGTGCTGGGCGGGTTTCTGCTCTTTGTTCGTTGGTTCCTGGAGCCCTATCTGCAGTGGCGGCGGGACAGAGATCACACGTTCAGGTGTGTGTGTGTGTGTATGTTGTGGCACAGACAGGCGCATGGATGTGGGGAGGGAGAGGGCCTGCACTTGAATGAATGGTGGCTCGTGCTCGTGTTCTGTCCGATCAGGGATGAGATAGCTGACGTCTTTCTGGACAGCTCCCCTCTGACAAGTAAGCACAGCGCTCATAAAGGACAGACCAATGACTGCCCTGCGTGTTCTGCATCTCTCTCTCTCTCTTTCTCTCTCTCTCTCTCTCTCTCTCTCTCACAGGTGATTCGGCGTCACATCCGCCATCTCCCGGTGGCAGCTCCGACGTCGTCAGTCGGTTCATCGTGTCGGCATGCCACAAGGTTCAGCACGCCAAGGGCAAGTCAGCCAAGGAGGTGGAGCTGTCGCTGGTCATCCCTGCCTACAACGAGGCCGACCGGCTGCCGCCAATGCTCAAAGACACCGCTAAGGTGCGTCCGACTGATACATAAGACAGGGGATGGAGATACATAAAGGTATCTGTGTGGTTTCTTGTTGTGTTGCTGTCTGCCTGTCTGCCTGTCTGTCTGTCTGTCTGTGTGTGTGTCTACAGTACTTGCTGGACCGTCGTGTAGCCGACCCGTCCAAGTCATTCGAGGTGCTCGTGGTCTGTGACGGCAGCCGCGACCAAACGTGAGCATGCCTATGTGTCGTTCCATCTGCTTGCCACTCACTCATTCATTCTCTTATCTGGTTGGCTGTTTGTTTGTTTGTTTGTGTCAGTGCGAGAGTGGCCCGCACGACGGCAGCTGAGTGCGGGATAGCTCAGGAGCTGAAAGTGGTCCGACTGAGAAGAAACATGGGCAAGGGATTCGCCGTCAAAATGGTTGGTACACACACATATATGCAGTACAGATGCACATGGACTCCCCCCAACTCACTCACAGCCATCTCCTGTCCTCCTTCTCAGGGCATGTTGCTCGGCCAGGGTGAGTCGCTGCTGATGGTTGATGCGGATGGCGCCACCGACATCCGCGACCTCTCCCACCTGGAGGCCAAGCTGCACAGGGGGGCCCGGCGGCCGCCCGGCAAGCCATCAACCACCGCCGACGCACAGACGGCCGAGTATGACGTTGTCTTCGGCTCGCGGGCCCACCTGCAGAAGGACGCTGTCGCACATGTAAGTCAGAGCTCTCAGCGGCCAAGGGAAACCGAGAGAGACAGGGCAGGGCAAGATGTGATGTGTGTGTGTGTTGTGTGTTGTGGACGTTGCTTCCAGCGAGCATGGTACCGGAATGTGCTCATGTATGGCTTTCACGTGTTTGTGACGCTGCTGGTGGGTTCCAACGTCAAGGACACCCAGTGCGGCTTCAAGCTCTTCACGCGGGCCGCCGCGCGAGACATCTTCGCCTCACTCAACGTGACACGATGGGCATTCGACATTGAAGTCCTCGTCATTGCGCAACGGTAGACAGACAGACAGAGAGACAGATAGATCAGTCGACACACTTCTTGCGTCCTTTCAGCACACAGCAGGGGTGTGGTGTGTTGTGGGTGCAGGCTGGGCCTTCGTGTGGCTGAGGTGGCCGTCAACTGGCAGGAGATCCCTGGGTCAAAGCTCAACGTCGCACTCGCATGTAGATAGATACCGAACACAAGTCGCGCGCGGCGTCTAGCCATTCTCAGTTGATTGATGTCCGGTGTGTGTGCAGCGCTGCAGATGGCGCGTGACATCATCCTTGTGCGGCTGCTGCACGCCCTCGACATCTGGAAACCATGGTATGGATGCAGTGTCTCATCTGGTCCACCTGTATTACCTCTGAGTGGCGCTGATGTTGCACGTTTCGTCCGTCTGTCTGTCTGCAGCCCCGGTGCGTCGTTGGAGAAGCTCTTGGCGCAACCAGATGACAGAAAAGAGCGCAGAAAGGGCGACTGAAGGCATTCATGATCGATCTGGTGTGTCCATGTGTGGTTGGTTCCATGCTGTTGGTGCGAGACAGTGTACTAAGTACTGGTGTGGATGCTGATAGTCTTGTTTTCTTGCTGTGGTGCTAATTCGACCATCCGCTGACTGACTCCGACTTAATTCGAATCTACTACTCGCCAACAACAGTGAATTGGTTACTGTCCATCCATCCATCCATCCATATCATCACACGAGTGGCTTGATGCGAGTGAGGTCCGTCCACGAGAGTGCGGCACTCGTGCCGCCCTCTCCCCCCTGGCCGCTCTGCAGCTGTTGCTGTGTGAGCAGCAGGATGGCATCGAAGAAACGGCGGTAGGTCTGCAGCCGATGCGATACGGGGCCTTGGGTGCGCTGAAACTCTACAACTGTATCTGCACACACACACACATGGGGTGCCTGACACAGTCTCTCTCTCTCTCTCTCTCTCTCTTGTGGCATGCCCTCAGACACGCACACACCTGCATCAATGACGTCAATGACGACCACCCCTGCACCCGCCCCCGCCCCCATGGCACTGACGGCGTTCCGCAGCAGCGCAAGCACCAGATGCACCGCAAAATTGGCCGTGCTCGCATCGGGCCTCACATCCATCATACCACCCGCCCCACCGCCTGTCCCGCCTCCCCCTCCTCCCGCTTGCGTCCTCCCAGGCGTCTTGGGGTCCGCTGCGCTCCCACTCGCCACCCCCGCCCCAGTGGCCTTGCTGCTGGTGGTGCGGGGCGAGTGGGGGCGCGTCTTGCTCATGTCAATCTCAGCACCTCTGATCAAGTCGGTCAGCCGATGCAGCACCACCAGCGACGGACGGTTGACTGTTCTGGTAGATGGGGCTGCATTGGGGGGAGCCGGGGGAGGAGGGGCTGGCACGACCGCAAAAGGGTCGGCCGGTTTCCTGATGGTGTATGGCTGCGATCGGCGGCGGGACTTGCGGCGGGTGCGGGTGTGCTTCCTGCTCGCCACGGCCGACTGTGGGCGGGAGTGTGTGTGTAGGTGCGGCTGCGGGGGGTCGATTTCGTGCAGGGCGGTGAGGGTGTCAAGCAGCCGGTACCACTGGCGGGTGGCGGGGGGATCGTTGGCCTCGTCTGATGGGGCGGGGCGTCGGGAGCCCCGGGGATGGGCATGATGGTCAACATACCTGCAGCAGCATACACACCCATACACCCATGGCTATGAGAGATGATGGCCTCAAGAGCGGCTGGTGGTTTCCCAGCATACTTGAGCAGGATGCGTTCCATAGCCGGGTGTGGCATGGCCGCAGACGTGTGGTGGTGACCTCCCCGCCGCTCATCCGTCCGCAGCAGGGCGGGCCGCGACAGAAGCGACTCCTGCTCACTGCACACACCATAGGCCATCAATGCACCTCCACTTCTCAGGCATGTGGCATACCACACGACTATGGCGCATTCGCGAGCCCATTGGATGCAGTACTGGAGGGCTGCCTCCATCGCAAGGGTGGAAGCGAGATGGCCGGATGAGTCCACGCCGGGCCGGATGGCGTCGGGCCGGCAGATCTTCATGTCGTCCATGGCAGCGGGGATAAGCAGCAGCACCGCCCTCCCGCTGCTGCCCCTGTGATCCTGAATGGCGCAAGGGCATGGAGCGCGGCTGTGTGTGGGTGGCCGTTGCCGTGTTGTGATACCTGGCCATTTTGTTGTGTAGATGGGATGATATGCTCGAGGAGAGCTTCGAGAAGCTCGAGAGAGGCCGTCATGACAGGATCTGAGTATATCTGTGGTTTTTGACTCGTCAAGCGCGCACGTTGGCCACGGGCTACTGGTGTATTTCAAGCGTGTCACCCAGCTCCTCGGCTGGCTGGACAAGCTCGAGAGTACACGAGAAGCCCGTAGGAAAGCGTGGAGCTCCATTTGCAATGAAGAAACGTCAATGGCATGAAGCACACACACGTCGATACCGGCTGAATCTATCGACCTCACCCCACATACATACCAATAACAGATACATACCACTGGACCAGAATGAACGAACACTGTACAGGACCCACTCCAGGCATGACATGACACAGGCAGCTGGCGCCCCTACTCACTGTGTCACTCACTTGCCTCCGACTTTATTGTTTTGCTTGATCCTTGCCGACCTGAGTCTCATCCATGCGCCCCAGTACTTCTTGCCGCTCTCCGGCTTGTAGACGTTGTGCCACTTGTACTCCTTCTTGTGCTTGCGCATCGGATTCACATTGCCATGCTGACCGCCGCCACCGTGACCGTAACCCTCCCTGGTTAGTTGAGACAGACACACACATGGACGCAACAATGGTCGCAACCACCAACACGTCGCAGCGACGGTGCGTGTGCAGTACCTGAATCCGTCAGGTTCGTGGTGGTCGGGATGTGCCTCCTCGAACGACTTGGCCTCCTTGAGCCGCCGCCTAAAGCCCTGCTCCAACGCAGGACTCTCCTTCCACCACCTAGCATCAGACGCACACACACGCATAAGGCACCCAATGGCATCCACCCAGCCGTCGCTGTCCTGTCCTTCCACTCCTGATTGGTTACTTACATGTTGATGGGTTGTGGCGGCTCGGAGCCCTCGAGGAACTCCTGACGCTCAGGATGCATCTCTGCCAACCAACACACAGACACGACACGCGTCGAATTGCATACCGTCCTCTTCGTGTGCTTCTCTCTCGCTCTCTCTCTCTCTCTGTGTGTGTGTGTGTGTGTGGTTGTAGGTACTTTCTTCCGGAGGCAGGTAGTAGGGTGAGAATTTGGCGCACGCCTTGCCGAACCACTTCTCATTCCTCTCCTTCCGCAGGTAGTGCCAGTGGCGGGCAAAGTAGGGGTCGCGCTGACTCAATCCGATTGACACACATAAACAAGCACGACAGCATGTGTGTGAGTGATGGTTATGCATGGACGCCCTTCCTTCGTACTGCGCGTACCTACCTGGTCTTTGAACCGCAAGAAGACCTTCCACGGCAGAGCCCACTCGCGGACCTCTGAACAGACAAATAGACATACAAAGAGAGGGAAACGTGCTTCCATCCATCCATCCATCCGTGTCAGTCAGTCATATGTGTGTGGTGGTCCGTCCGTGCGGCCCCGGCCTACCCTACCCACCGGGGTTGTGTTGGTAGAAGTACATGACGTTTCTCATCCGCTCGCCCATGTTGGACCGCATCTCCTGCGGCGGCGTCCGCAAAATGTACTCGTCAAACCCACCCATGTCGTCCATCGCGTGAAGCGCTGCACAGCACATACCAACACCGCACGCACGCACGCAATAAACACCACACACACATTCCTCTCTACCTGATGTGGTGACTCTGAGGTTTTTGATCTCCGTGTTGAGCCGCTTGGATTTAATGTCCTTCTTGAACGTGTTGGGTTTGGCCTTTGTCCAGAACTTGTCCATCGTCCACACGATGTACGAGTAGTAGTTGAAGTCCTCATCGTGGTACAGGCCCGTCGACGCCGCCGCGGTGGGCTCCCTGCCGTACGCCTTGACGGGGATGGGGTGGGCGATCTGGTGCCGCTTGAAGCCCCGCCAGTGGATCTTGCCCACCTTACGCAGATACTTGCCGAACAAGGACAGATTCTTCGGCATATTCGACTGGATACGGTGCGGCACTCAGGGGAGTGAAAGATGCCAATGCCGCTGTGTAGCCGTCATCTGCGGACCTGCCGCTGCACAGCAAAGGATTCTTTCAACGCCCTTTTGCTCCTGGCGCGATGCGATCGTGTTGCGAGCTTGAAGCCAAAAAGGGAAAAGCAGATTCCTTTGGGCTTGTGGCGAATCTGTGCATCAGAACGAGCATGATTCGTTCGCTTTTGTATCTCGTTGATCTCGCTGACTGACATGAGCAGTCCCCCACCAGCGAATGGGACGATTCGGGAGGACCAGGTGCAGAACGCGGTGCGGTTCCTGTCACACCCATCAGGTACACACACGCTGAATGCGCATCTATGTCGATATCTCCTTCCTGTGATTGTGGCTGCATATATCGGGGTGGTTGGCGCGCAAGCAGTGCAAGCGGCGTCTGAGGAGCAGAAGAGGGAGTTCCTAAAGAAGAAGGGACTGCCGGACAGCGAGATTGCCGAGGCCTTCCAACGCGTCAAGCAGCAACAACAGACGCAGGTGAGACTGGGAAAGAAACCGATGTGTGTGTCTGTGCGGTAGGCGATGTGATGGTTGTTTGCCCTCCCCCCTGGTGCTAACATTGCTGTTCAGGTATCTCCCTCTCCGTCACCTCCATCGCCCACCCCCGCTGTGGCCTCTGCGTTGGTGCCCTCTTCCATGCCGCCCCCGCCCTACCCAGCCGCCTATCCCCTCGGCTCGTATCCCTACCCCTACGGACGCATCAAGAGTGAGAGAGGGGAGGGAGGGAGGGAGGGAGGGAGGGAGGGAGAACAGAGTAGTGGATGTGACATCGTTCGCTTGGCTTGACGGTGTGGCTGTGGTGCAGGCCGTCGCAAGGGTTGGGTTCAGCGTCTGCAGGAGTGGACTGTGCCCATGATCATATCCTTCGGCGCATATGCCATTCTCCACTATGTCTGGGTGGGTTACCCAATCAAGCAACCACAAAACCACAGAACCACACACACAACACACACACGCCTGTGTCACGACTCCTTCCCTCACTGATTGCTCAGGACATGTACACCAAGTGGCGCATCGAGGAGGCGGCTGCTGCTCCCCGTGAGGCGGCCGAGAGCGGTGGTGCGTTGCCACTGGAAGGTGACGATGAGGACGACAGCGGGCGGCGGGGCGGCAGGGGGCTGGGCATGAGGAGGGCAGGAGACGAGCACATGGACGGCAGACCTATCCCTGCCGCTGCTGCTACCAACGGAGAGGCAGGTCAGTGAGCACACAGCCAGGGGAACAGCCGGGCGTGGTCAGACACGTGTTGCTGAGTCTGATGTTCCTCGTGTGTGCGTTTGTGTGCAGATGAGTTGAGCCCTGGCATGCCTCCCATGTCATTGTCGATGTCGTTTGCCCTCTCGAATGAGATCCGGGAGATGAAGAACGAAGTCAAGCGGCGGGAGGACGCGGTGAGGCTGACTGACATGACAACCCGATGAGTGCCCAAGGTCATCTCGCCCATGTCTGTTTGTATGTGCTGTCGTGTCAGTTGTTGGATATGGTCCAGCGTCAGGGGCACGAGCTGCGGGAGATGGCCGGCGTCATCAAAAGCCTGCTCCAACAGCAGCAGCAGCAGCACCAAAGGCCATCCCAGGTGAGCCGTTGACAGCCGGCAAGACATGCATCAGAAAGGCGGAAGGCATCCTCCTTGTTGCTTTCTGCGCCAGGCCAGCGGTGCTGCTGAGGTGGATGGCGTGATGCCCTCGATGACCGACGCCATCCAGCAGCCCCCCACGTCGCGGCCAACGTCGCCGTCGCCTGCTGCATCGGACGCGCGAGAGATGGCAGCGGTCGATGGTGAGGTGTCGGCGTGTGTGCGTGCCCTGGTTGACGACTGTGAGGGCAGGGAGGAGGCCAAGAAGACACTGGCCACCCTGCAGGTGGGTGGAGCCGCTGGAGATGGATGGATCGGGGAGAAGAAAGAGGGAGGAGATGCTAATGGGAGAGTGTGTGTATGGTTGCAGTTGATATTGAAGAACCTGCTGACGTATCCTGACGCCGACCGGTACCGAAAGATAAACGCGTCAAGCGCGCGATTCAATGGTCAGTGAGGCCACAACACATCGGTGCCCTCACTAAGGCGCACACACATGAGCTGTCTGTGTGGCTTGTGTGCGTGCAGAGCGTCTGGGCACGAAACGGTCCACACCGGCGCTGCTCAAGTGCATCGGTTTCGAGCAGAAGCAACAATCATACGTACGCCATACAGACAGGCAACATGTGATCACGGCTGAACCGCCGCCACGCTCTCAATCTTCCTGGATTCCTCAGGCGTTCGTTGGCTTGGACATGTCCCGCGTACAGGCCGCCCGCACACTGCTCGAACAGACCCTCGACAGCCTCTCAGCCGACCTGCCCTCGGCACCCTCAAGCGTCGCATCGCCCCCCCAACCCATGGCGGCCGCGGCCAACTCACCGCATGTCACCAACGGCGTTCCCAGCAGCACATATGGACCCAGGGAGGACGGCCGTGATGGCGTCAAGGCGCCGCTGGCCCTCAATGGGCTGCACCCCATCAACACGGCGACACCAGCAGCCGCAGGCGGCTTCGCGAAGCCGTGGTTCAGTCGCATCGGCAATCCAGCTACTGCGGCGCCAGCAGTGCCGCCACACGATGGCAGCGGTGGCGGGGGGGCTGACAGGCAGCCGCCTGAGGCTGCTGTGTCTGAGAGGGAGGGGGACGGGGCGGGCAGCCCGAATGGTGCCGTGTCGGTGTCTGTGGAGGGGAGCCCCGAGAGGAAGAGCACAGAGCGGGATGAGGAGGAAGCCAATAGCTAGCTAGAGGTGGCTGCCCAGTGGTGCGGCTGTGAGTAAACGGACTCGTTTCTCATGTCCTTCATGTACCCTGTCAGCTGTAACATCTGAGTGTGCAATGTGCTGCGCATTGGTCCAATCAGACTGATGCGCAGGCCGTTGCCCACCTGCTGCAGGCAGCTGACAGCGGCTAAGACACAGGTCTTTTGTTTCTTTCATGAGAGCATGGAGACTCACACATGCGTCAGTCTCATACAATGCATTGTGTGTGCGTCGGTCTCACATTTGTCTGTTCGTCTGTGTGTCTGTGTGTGTGTTTATCTATCTGGCAGCGAAGAGCATGCTGTCTTTGTACATGTACACAGTCGCCAGCACCAGCGCCGCAGCGAGCGCCACGGCCGACACGGCCAGCACAATGGTGACGCCCAGCCGACCACTCGACGCTGTGGCAGACAAGGCCGACCCGCCAGACAACGGAACTAGATCATCCACCAACCACACACACAGACGGATGGGGTCTCTGTCTGTGTGTCTGGCAGGAGGGAGGGAGGGAGACATCAGTTGCTGTTGTGTGTGTCTCTGTCTGTCTGGTTACTTGTGCGTTGTGGTAGTTGAGGAGCTGCTGGTTGGACTGCTTCCATGTCTCGCTTGTCGGGTCGGCCGTCCCTGCCCGCATGCTCTCAAGCCGGGCCAGCAAATCGTCAAACCACACACGACGGCGTCAAACTAACGAACGGTGAGTACTGCCAGATTGGTTGGTTACGTCTGTGTTGATGTCCGGGTCGTCCGGGTCATCGATACGACCATTGATGTGACTTGGAATCTCTGTTTCCACCCACCATTCCACAGGCCATTCATGACATGTACCATGCGTCCGTCCGTCCGTCCGTCCGTCCGTATGTCCAGATGCCTCACAGCCTCACGATGTCAGCATGTAACCTCCATGCATCCATCCATCCACCGCTGTCTCTCTGCCTTCCCTCCCTCTCTCCCTCGCTCCCTCCGCATGTGCACTCTCCTCTGTTTGTCTGCACTGCCGCCATCCAGCCATCAATTCTTCTTCTAGCAGGGCTCCCCTCCGATGACGCTCCTGCGCCCCGCTGCTTGAGTCGTGTTGCCCCCAAAAGAGGAGAAGTTGTAGTGGGTGGGGGTCGTGAAGTGCGACATCGTCACCGAACGATTCAACGCGTGCGCAACTGAGCCCACACACAAGAGACAGACAGACAGACAGAATGGATGGCACTTGGTGAGTGTCTGTGGGAATGTGTACCGACCGGACGAGAGGTCGTCTTCGGAGAGGCCGGAGTCCGGGACCCGGGGGAAGGAGGACAGATCACCCTCGAGCAGGGCCGTGTCGTCCGCAGCGCTCGACACATTCCTTTTCGTGACTGAGTGGAGTGGACAGACATACCAACACAGACGCCACGCAGGCGACGTGTGTCCATCCAGGTTTTGAGCGATCAATGGCTTGCTTACAGTATGGGCTGTGTGTCCAGATGCCACCCCCTCCCTGATGTGAAGGGGTGGCGGGGGTCTTGTGGGGCATGTACGCTGCTGCTGCGGATGGGTGGCGAGGGCTGGCAGCTGGGGGAAGGCATTGATGGGGCCCTTGAACGAGCCAGCCGAGTAAGAGGTGTTGTGGAAGCCGCCGAAATCGCCGCCAGCTGCTGAAGACAAAAACAGAGATAGCTGAGTGGGTGAGTGAGTGGTGATATCTGATCTGGCATCGTTTCTTCCTTGCACATCACGTACAGAAGCCTCCAAAGGTGTCTGAGAAGTCGCCAAGCGACACACCGCCACCTGCACACAGGGAGGGAGAGAGAAAGTGACCTGGCCATTCATTCCCCCGCCCATTGTGGCTGATCTACCTTACCTCCGTTTTGCTCGCAGTAGACGGTGAGAATCCGTTTGATGGTCTTGGTGGCACTGGCTGAAGAGGCAGCGCACTGGTGGACGGTGGTGCCGCGGCAGCAGGGGTTCTGCTTGAAGGCCACACGGCATGACGGGTCGCTCGACAGGGGGTCCAGCGTATCGCCGCCCTGCTCGCAGTCCACACTTCTCTCAAACTCCTATGTATCGATCCATTTGCACATAACAGAGACACATCAAGACAGTCAGAGACATGGACATAGACAAGGAATAAAAGGGTGTGGTGTCTGTCTGTCTCTGTGCTTACCCTGGGTAGGGATTGGACTTCTCCGGTGAGGGAGCGGATCTCGTCCTCAAACATTTTCTGATCGATAATGACAAGACAAAGACAAAGACAGTACAGGCTTGGGCCATGAGTTCGCGTATCTTAAGTGATCCGGTCTGGCCAGCTGCCAGGTGAGAGCGTTCATGTGCTCGCGGTGAGTGGCCACCTTGTCGGCCTACACCAAGAGCGTCAATGTCCACTGCCTCCCTCATGTGCACGTGTCTGTATGCTCTTACGAGTTGCCAGCGCGCCTTGGCTTCTTCCAGGTAGCATCGCTGCAGCTCCTGCAGCAGACGCGCCAGTCTAACAGCAGCGGCCGCCTGCACAGTACACACACACACACACACACACACACACAGGAGACATGCAGCCACAGCATGAATGCCCATGTTGCGGTGTGCGCAGCGTACCACAGCCTTGAACATGGTGTTGATCTGTGGGATGATGCCAGTAGGGGTCTGGTGAATGAATGTCTGCATGATGCCCTCGGCCTTGGACAGCTTCTCGCAGCACGCCTGCGCTGCCATCTGGATCAGCTGCATCGCCTGACTTATCTGTTTCCAACACATAAACACACACACACACACAGAACCACAGGTGTCCCGTCCCCTTCTCGCTTCCCCTCTCTCTCTCCCCCTTGTACCATGTGCTTGAACAGCGCCGATCTGAGCTTGGTCAGCAGGGTGCGGCTCTCCCTGATCTCGCCATACATCCCATTGGCGCGCTCAATCAGGCCAGGGGGCATCCGCACCACCGGCTGCCCACCCCCGCCGTCGCCGCCGTAGCCGCCGTGGCCGCCGTAGCCGCCGTGGTTCTCATCCACAGACAGAGTCGAGAAAGCCACGGGAGCCGAGGTGTCCCCTGCTGAGCCTGCAGGGTGGCTATGGATGAGGTCTGCAAGCTCCTGGGCCGCCTTGTGGCTCACGTAGTGGGCGAACGCCTTGGCATGGCTGCCGGGCTCCTCAGTGGCATGGCGCTGATCCTCACCAAGCGCAGAGTCTGATTCGAGCTGATTGACGTAGACGGACGGGGCGGTGGCTCTTGTGGCGATGGCGGGGGAGATGAGGAGAGTGCCGATGAGGACGGACACGAGGAGGATGGAGGCGGTGCTGCAATGCATTGTTGCGGTGTCACGGGACAGGCAAGGGGAGGCCCTCGTGATGAATCGGAATATGTGGATGGGAATTGGATGGGATGGATAAATGGAATAGGGGGGAGGTCGCGCGAGGAGCCGATGAAGAGGTGGGGGGCCAAGACTGGGGGCGTGCATGCATTACCCTAGCATGCATGCAATGAAGCAAGTGGACACATGCTCAGGGCGAAGAGGATGCCGTCCTTGAGGAACGAATGCGAGTTGGTCACCGGCGACACATCCTCAGGAGGGCGGAAACGGGCAGACACACCCTGACCACACCACAGACACAACTCAGTCAGCCGCTGGGGTCGTGTTGGCCGTGGTGCAGGGTACCTACCTTGCTTGGCTCGATGCCCTCGTCTTGGCTGCATGGGCATGGCTGCATGGGTCGTTGACGCAAGTGGACGAGTTGGAAGACTTCCGCACAACGTTGCCGGCTGATGGAATTGAGTACGACAGTTTGAGCCGCATGCAATGATGGGTGACTTTTACAGCTAATGCGTTGTGTCTCTTGCGTGTGCCCCTTGATTGGCTGGGCGCACGCAAGAAGCACGGTTACCTGTACAGGTAACCGCTCAGGAATAACACATCAGTAATCACTCGGTATGTTGTCGGCGCTGTGATTGTTGTGTTTTTCTGTGTTAATCTCAGACTCTGTAAGCCGGCCATCTCCCCTTTACAAGCCAAAAAGGGAGAGAACAGAAGAGAATTCATCACATATTCATCACCGTTGCAGGCAGGCAGAGAGCATTCATGATATACGACAGAGACAGGCGAAATCCGGCAACGCAACATGCAAAAAATGATTGAAATCATCGGACAGAGGACCGGAAAATTGAATGCTGGGCGGCTGGTCACAGATGTTGCCACATTCAGTGCATGAGCATGAAAACACACACATGTCAAGTCAGCGGATGTCTGTTGTGTGTGTACGCCCACTGATTGATTGCAGGGGCTGAGGAGCGGCTTGAGGCCGACCAAGTGCCACCTGCCAGTTCCGGTACGCGTGCATGTGTGCATGCATCTCACCGGCCATGTATGTCTGGTGCCTGGCTGTGTGTTATGTGTTTTTCTGTTTATTCGGCTCGACGACTGACGACTGACTGACTGACTGCCTGATGTGTATGGATCGCATCATGCAATCAGTGGTGTTTGTTGGCCGACTGACTGACTGACTGATGTGTGTGCGGCACAGACCTACACAATGTGTCTGGAAACAGCGCTTTGTAAACCTTCTTCCACCAGTAATTGATTGATGCGTCTGTGCGTCCCTCACGATTATGTACCCACGCAGATATACACACCGGCCGGTATAGATCGCGACACACGACCGTCCCTCTCTCTGATGTGACGTGTACGGCGACAGCCCCCCTACCGCCGATTCACGCAAGCAGACAGACAGGCCATCCATCCATCCATCCAGTCTCCTCTGTGCTGTCTATACTCACCGGAAAAGAAGGAGAGCGGCAGAACACAACACGTCACACCACAAAGAGACACACACACATAGAGCACACGTCATTTAAAACCCATCCATCATGCAGACAGGCAGACAGACAGGTGGAGTGATCCCACGAGCCCCACCCCACTCAGCCCCACCCTACTATCGAGCTCGATCCAGCCTATCAGCTAGCTGCAGAGGAACTTGCCCCCCCACTTCTTCCAGATTCCCTTCTCCCCGCCGCAGGGCGCGTGCTTTCCCTTTACCTCGCTCTCCTTGATGCACTCGCCATAACCTGAGAACGAAGTCGCCTCATCAATGAGACACACTTCGTCCTCGCCGCCGCAGAGAGTCACGCCGGCACCGGATTTGTCGCCGAAATTGTCGTAACCGCATGAAGCCCCTTTTGCACACATACACACACACACATACACACACACACACGCATACACACACACCCCCAAATGTGGCCAGGGGGTATACGTGCCATGTGACCGAGCTGACCTGGTTTTGAGATGATGGTCCGGTGGGCCGTGTCGATGGTGTTGATGGCCGCGGTGATCAGATCACGAGCGGCCGTGAGGGTGCTCTTGGCCTGCTCCAGAGCTGGGTCCAGCTGGACCATGGCCAGTGACATCTCCCCACCTGCAAGAAAGAAGACGGGAACAACAGACATACATATGTATGCGATGCGCTGGATGCACTTCAGTCGGATGAAGGATCCGGCGCCGGCAAGAACACCTACCGTGCTCATGAGCAGCCACCGACACCTCTGCAGCCATAGATTAGCCATCCAGCCATCCGTATGCACAAAGAGCAGAGAAAACACTCAGTTTGGGCATATATGGGGAGATCTGCCACGGTGCTGCATTGGTGCACGGTCAGTTCGGCGCCTGTGCGTCCCCCCTCTGCTTACGTCGGTCGCTGGTGCGCTGGGATGCCACAACGGCTACGAAGCCGACCAGCAGGATGGCAGCAAGGCCAAACGACCCATCGTCTTCGTGAAAAACGACGTGCGCAATCGGCCACTTAGGGTCCCCCACGGGATACGTGACAGGGCTGACGGAGCTACGGCGAGACCAGGCGAGATCGCGCGGCGAGAATTGAAATCCGAGACAACCCCGGAAACCCTACCTTTTTTTCTACGTTTCTCGGCTTTCACGCCTTCCCTCGGCATTCTGGCCCCTTACCCCGCCTGTGTGCGCTTTGTGCGACCACCCTTTCACTCGCCCCCTGCCCCTCGTGTGCCGCCGCCCATTCCGACTGCTCCGAGTCACAAACCTGACCCGCTGTGCGCTATGTGCGTCCCTCTCTTTGGACGGTAGGTATGTACGCCTGCAGAAGGCAAGAGACGCTCACTTTCTGGCAAGCCTCTTTGGCGGTATTCATGAGGTGCGACCAAGGATATCCAGATTAAACTGCCAATAACACACGCACATATGAATGGACTCGCCCATGCGCCTGAGTCGTTCGCCCATCACGCACACACACATCCCGCCGCTGATCTGAGGCGGGGCGGGCGAACGCCATCCGCCACCCACTCAGCCCATGTCTCTGTCACTGGCGCCGCTGAGTGTCACCACAGCCATTTATCGTGTTTTGGTGGTGAGAAAGCTGCGTGAGATCAGCATGATGCTGTGGGAGTGATGGCTGACAGGACAGCGGTGTGGCTATGGACTGAGTGAGTGACACTTCCATGCAGCGATCAATCAGTCAAGTCAGAAAAGGCTGCACCTCTCACACAGACATGTATCACGCACGCCAGCTAGCAATCGATAGGCCGTCCATCTGTCCATCTACTTGACAGTCTCAGCCAACACTCGGAACAGATCAACCTGCACACCATCTCACACACAGACACACACACAAACATACACAGACCACCATCTGTGGCACTGCCGGATGTCCTCCCCCGGGCTTACCTGTGTAGTCTCCTCTACTTTGGTATGAGGTGGGCGAGTCGGTGTTTGGTCAACAGGGGGCGGACCAGGGACATCGCGATGGGATATCGGCCGGCTAGCCGCGTGTGGCCCTTGATGGCCGCCTCGGTCGTGTAGAGGTTGATGTCGCCGTCGGTCAGGTACAGGTGGGCGGCGACGGTGTCGCCCTCCTTCATGCCCTTGAGGATGATGTGTCGCTCCCGCCCGTCAGTGTAGTCGATGGTGGTGTGGCCGTCTATGGGCTCGGTCAGCAGTCGCTGATACCGCTCATCGCCATCGCCTACTCTCCTTCCAAATATCCGCTTCTCGTCCGCTCCCTCTTGGCCATACCACTCCGCCAACACCAACCACTTCATGAAGGCCGTGAATGAGGGGAAGAGGGAGCCATCGTGGCGGACGGGCGGGTTGTGGGGGTCGTATGTCTCACGGAAGCGATGCTGGGGAGGGAGGCCGGACAGCGGCACCGTCTCAAAGCGCCACTCTCGCTGGCCGCTTCCGATGCGATACCGCTGCCGTGTCACCCCACCGTCCCCCTCCCCCTCTTCGTTCCCCTCCCCCCTCCATCCTCCTTCTTGGCCTCGTCGCCATCCTCGCCATCGCTGTCATCGGCCTCATCCACCTTTGTGAGCGCCAGGCTGGTGCCCTCATAGTTGAGGAGGTGGCCGAATGTGCTGTACTGGCGAAGGGCGAGGGGCATGGTGTGGAAGTCGGCCTTGGTGGGCAGGTGGGCCGCCATCCACTGGGACGACATGATCAAGGGCAGACCGTCGGTCAGCTTGTAGATGTCAGCCAGCCGGATGAAGTCGGGCCACTCACACCACACCGCCCCGCCATGCTCGAGGGCATATGCGCACTTGGTGTAGTACTGAAGGGTCGGCCGGTGCACGTCGATGAGGCCGGTGAGGTTGGTGTCCGTGAGGTGCTTGTCGACGCGGCGCAGCGCGAAGGCCTCATTGACGAGTTGGCTGCCGTGTGCCCTGCTGATGGGGCGGGCCGAGCAGACGGCCTCATCGATGGGCAGGCACCGGTAGATGACGTCGCGGCAGACATCAGGCGGCAGGGTGCTGGTGGCGGCAGCGCCTCCAGTGTGTTCGGTGTGAGTGGGGGCGGCATGGGCAGCTGGCGGGGAGGGATGGGGGTGTGAGGGAGGGGCCTGGGGTGGGTGAGTGGCCGCCATGCCTCGTGTGATGGCGGTGAGGGCCTCAGAGGCCGCCGAGATGCTGCTCTTGAGGGTATACCAGTGAGAGGCATCAGACGGCAGCTGAGGCCATCGACACAGACAGAGAGGAATAAGTCATGGCGGCGGTGGTGATGGGATAACCTCTCTGACCCTGGCAGCGACATTGGCGACGAACGAGCCTTCAATGGTCGTCACATCACACTCCACCTGACCAACACAAGGCCGAGCTGTGTGTGTGGATGTGTGTCGTCATCGCGTCCTTACCTGTGTCACTTGTGCCAGCAGCACTGAGAAGCGCCGCTGCAGCTCCTCAAAACTAAGACTACCGCCGGCCGCCTGCACACGGACGCACAACACACACAGAGTTGTGATGGCGCACAGAGGGCGGTCAAAGGTGTATGGGACAGACCGCCCACCGATGCGTTATGGGCGGCATCCATCTGCTGGTGCTGCGATGATGACACTCCACTCATCCCATGACCTGACAACACACAGCACATCATCTGTTCATACCATGCTTCACCCCATCCTCTGCATCTCTCGGCTTACCTGAGGCAGCCGGGCCGTCGACGCGCTGGCGCTTCCCGCCATCAGCGCCATCAGACATCTCAAACACGCGCTAATTACTGAGCAACGAGCGGGCTGAATCGGGTGTCAGCCGTCACTGATGTAGGGCAGAGGGGCGATACTCTATCCATCATCAGGGCGAATTAGCCGCCCCTTCCGCTTATAGGGATCGACGCCATCCCTCTGTCGCCCTCTTTGGCCTCTTTCTCCCTCTTCCTCCTCCTTCGCAACCGATCGGGACTTGCGAGCTTAAAAAGGGGAAACTTCGTGAGCCGGATCTGCCCTTCCGCGCTTCGCGATGTCCCATCACATCGTAAGAGCATTGGACTGCCGGCGGAATCGCTTCATTGAATCTGCTGCTTTCGCTGTTTCATGCAGGCGACATCGTGCGCTGCCGTCTTATTTGGCGCCGGTGGAGTGGCCTATGCCACAGCAGGCTCCCTCAAATCGCTGGCAGGTGGGAGGCGCAGCTGCAAGGGAGGCATTGAATGGCTGCTGGGAGGGGTTTCCTTCTCTCTCGTCACATGTGTTTGTGTGGGTATGGGTGTTGATGTCAGCGTCATGCACTCTGGGCACGGTGTTTGCGGCGTCTTCCTATGTGATCCAGTACACCGACTACACGCCGATGGGCTATGCACTGGGGGCAACGGGAGGCTACTTCACCCTGATTGCGGGGCTCTCGAGGCTCAGAGGGGTGAGCGTTCTGTTTAAGAGTGCATGGGCGGTGTTCATTGCCATGGCGTGTGTGTGTGATTCAGGCCAAGAGTCCGGTGGTGCCGCTGCTGCTGGTTGGTCTTGGCTTGGCCTCCTCTCCCTACTACTCCTACAAGGTGTTCGTCTTCAAGGTGAGCAGAACACACGGTCGATGTGCGTGAGAAACGGACAACCGATGGCTTCTCTTTGGCCGTTTGTGCGATTCACCATGTTTGCAGGATCAGCTGTTGGGTTGAGGCTTTAAGTCATTTTGGGTGGGTATTTTGCCTTTGGAGCGAGTTGGTTGGTGGGCGGGGGGTGGGTGGGGTGCGAGCGCGAAGGCACAGGCAGATATGTGCAGCGTGTCTGTCTGTCTGTGTGAGCAATGAACGCATGTCCTCCGTGGGCTGTATGCGTGTGTTTATCTTATCCGACCCCTGTATCGTATCACAGACCACGCAGACCAGCTGCTGCCCACATGCCATGCTGCACTGCATTTCATGCCTGAGTGTACTGTACGTGACTTCAGTTGACTTCATTCATTCAGTCATCCACTCGTCCGTAGCTGCAAACGTGTCAATCTTACGTCGATGAATAGGAACGTTTGGACCCGTTGCTGCCCTCACTCAGTCAACCAACTGCCCGTGTGCCCTCTTTGGAGCACACCGGGGGGAATACCGTAGCACCCATACAGACAGACACACACACACTCACCCACTCAGCCGTTCATTCGTGCAGCCATTCGCTCAGACAACGGACAACGAAGTTTGCCTGTCTGTCTGCCTGTTTGTGTGTTGGTATTTGTCTGCTGTCTACCCCTGGATGATGTGTGGCATGGCCACAAAGGTCCCTCCCGGCGTGGCGTCCCCAATCGGCTGCCGCTCCTCCGCCCCGGCCGGCGCCAGACCCGCCCCGCCCTGCTCGCCCTCAACCCCCTCTTGCTTCTCCTGCTGCGGTGCCGGCGCCCCCTCCTCGGGCGTCACCACCAGCTGCGGCACAGTAGCACCCGCACCAACCTGGCCGCCAGGCGGCACCAACCTGCGGACGGCCACAGGCACCCCTCCCGTGTACGCGACGCCCCGGACTGTCTGTGTGAGCCGGTGGGAGTCGATCGGCATCGAGGTGAAGGGGATGTGAGGCGTGACGGGATGTGGGGACGCTCCTGGGGCGGCGGGCGGCATCGGCATCGGCATCGGCATCGGCCTCTGCATCTGCATGGGCATTTGTGTGTGGCCGGGAGGGGGGATGACCATGGGGCGGTAGCCGCCTGCAGGTGGTGGCGGCATCAGAGCTGACAGGAAGAGAGAGACATGCAAGTGTCTCGTGTCGTGCCTCCCATCATTTTGTCTCACTCGGTCCCCCGATGGTCGCACGCATGGTGGCCGGTGGGATGCCCCTCTGGCTCGGGAAAGCACCAGGGCTTGGAGGATACGGTGAGCCGAGGGGCGACACGGTGGCCTCGGACAGCGTCCACGTGGCCTGCAGCCCCTCCGCCCCGGGCTTGGGCTTCATCATGAAGAACCGGCAGTAGCGGGGCATCATCGACCCGTACTTAAGCACTGGCATCGGTGCGCCGTCTGGGTGCTGCAGGAGGCTGGCGTAGTGTCGGGCGTAGGTGAGCATGCACTCGTAGATGTCCGCCACGGACACGCGCCGGCGGGGAGCCAACTCGTACAAAGCGTTGTACAGACAAAACGTGAAGAAACCCTAAATGAAGGAGAGAACAGAGAGATGCAGAACAGACACCATTTCTTTCCCATGGTCGGTCGTCTCGGCCGCTTACTTGCGCCAGACCGTTGGTTGGGTTGGTGATCTCCTGGCAGGTCTGCTTCGACCCACACGCAGAGAAACAGAAGGCGCTCACCTGCGGCCGATCAGCCAGAAGCCCGGGAGCCTTCCGCGGATACCTCCCGAAGTCGAACCACATGGGCGGCCTTCGCGGCGTCAGCAGCCTCATCCCCGGGCCCACACGCAGCGACGGCACCTTGGCCTCCGCCGGGCCACCGGGGCTCACGGCTACGTTGGAGAGGTCGAGTGCGGACGCTCCGTGGCTGCAGTCCATGAAGACGCCGATGAACGTCTTTGGCGGGAGGTAGAGGGTGTACATCCATATCTCGGAGAGCAGCATGAGGTTGTCGAGCAGTGCGATGGCCTCCCAGTCGCCTTCAGTCGTGGCGGCAGCTTGTGGGCCGCCGGGACTGATGCGGGTACCGTGACCTGATGTGATGATGCGCGCAAGACATCCAGCCAGCCAGCCAGACAGACAGAGACAACAAGGAGACACCATGCCGGGAACACACACATCAAGACACGAGAAGGAGACACACACACACACACACCGGCGAAATAGAAGGAAAAGGAGTCCCCTGGAGCAGCGCCCTCCACCAGCCACTGCAGACCCTTGATCACCTGCAGGCACGACAACAACCAATCATTCAATCAGCTGCAGGCAGTTCATGGCGCGACAAACAAAAGTGCCTCACGTTGGCCTTAGTGGGGAGGTTGTCATACGGGGCCGGCTGAGGCAGCAGCTGCCCGTCAGGCCCGATGAGCGTCTCGGTCAGGACCTGGGCCTCCACATCCGGGGCGAACGCACGCAGGGCCCTGTGAACAAACAGTGAGCCACACACAAGGCCATGCCCTCTCTGCTTTCTCACTCGCGGAACGTGCAGGCGTCGCGACATGGGGCGGCAAGCTTGGTGATCTCGGGCGAGGGGATGGAATGGTAGTCCACACCCACAACCAAAGCCTATATGCAGCCACACACACCAGAGAGAATTGGGGCATTACGCAGGGATCATCAGGGGGCTCAGCCCGTCGCGTACCCTCTGCCGTGGGGGACGGCCAACAGCCACTGGATAGTGCACAGTCGCCATCTTTCTCACGCAACGGTCAATTAATGAGTGGCGACTCGGAGACTGATTTCAGCTCGCACAAGCGCGCAGCCGAGGGAGGGAGGAGGAAGAAGAGGCAGGCGCGCTGCGGTGTGCTAGTAGATGAGTAAGAACCGTTGTGGAATGGCCAGAGAATCACAGATTCTCCATCGTCACAAGTGGTGATGGAGAGCTTCGGGGTGCTGGATGTCAAGCCAGGCGCATCCGTCGGGCCCTTCTTCATCGGCATGGACATCGCACAGGCCGTGGTGAGCCAACACACTCACACGCACGCACACACACAGACAGCTCGGGCAACAGAGTGAGGCAGAAGCTCTCCAAAGGCGAGAGAGGGAGATGGGGAGGTCTGGGGTTGTCAGGCAGCCATTTCTGCATCCCCTCATCGTGTCACTCAAACGTGGTTTTGGTGTGCGTTTCTGTGTCGTGTGTGGTATGTGCAGAATGAAGCGTCGCACATGCCGATGGACAACGTGGAGCTCATGTACACCACCGACAGCGCCGACTTCTTCGCCGCCGATCTGGTGCTGCGGCTCCCCGACCTCCATCTGCAGCTGTGCTTCCACGCACTCACGCAGCGGCTGCATCTCATTGTCGGCCTGCTCGACCTCCCACCGGCAATCTCTCCAGCACACACCCTGCCCAGCCAGCCGAGGCCACCATCACCATCGCCCCCAGCACCGCCGTCTCTCCCGCCATCAACGTGGAGCGGTCCGACCACATCGTTGGCTCTTCCGCGGCAGTCTGGCCGGTCGTCGATTGCCAAGGGTGGGGGGCAGCAGCAGCAGCAGCAGCAGCAGTGGGGCAATGGCTATGGCTGTGGCGTGAAGTTCGCTTACGACGGGAAGGTATTTGCGGGAGACGATGTGGTGCCGCACTTCCGAGATCTGTACGGGCTGTTCGGTCCGACTTACCCGGGGGATTTCGACACGGGCAAGAAGAACTACGCCCTCAAGTATCCAGGTACCTTAAGGACGATGGGTGGCATAGAGAGGCGACCATTGATAATGATACACTCACATCGTTGCTTGGTCCCTGCAGGAGTGAGTTTCAAGTTCCCGCTGCCGCCCGAGTGTTTTGACGACCTCCGGCGTCGCGGCGACCACCCAATGGACCTTGACTATGAGCCGTCGGGCTACACCCCGTCAGCCAACCCCCTGGCGACGGCCGGTGAGCCGCTCCCCTCACCCACGCCAGAGATGGTGGACATTTCGCTGACGGCCTCGCCCATCGCTTCCCGCATCTATGTGCACCCGCTGGAAGCGCGCGATTGGTGGTCTGTCGATGGGGATGGCGATCGGGATGGAGACGGGGTAGACGGCAGGCCAGTGGTGGTGCGTGTGGCAAAGGGCATTGAGATTGGGGGACGCTCGATTGACTTTGGAGCGACGTGAGTGGAGGGGGGTGGGACAAAACAGAAGAGGGGAGGAGAGGAGAGGGGTGGCATGGAAAGAAAGTACTTGTGTGTGTGTTCGGTGTATGTATCAGTCCACAGGATGTGTTCTCTGAGTTGGGTCCGCCCGAGCAGGTGTGTCAGCGTGATGTGGAGGTCATGCGCCTGCACAGCCCCGCCAATACGTCCCGCTCCAGAGGGGCGCGCCACCACCACCACCAGCAGCAGCATTCGATCCCCACTGGTGCCGACTACTTCTACAACTACTTCAGCAGAGGTCCGCCGGCATCACGAGAGGCAGGAAAGGCCATGACACTCATCATGCTGTCGATTGGTCGCCGTGATGCAGGGATGGATTTGTTGTTTGATGGGTCAACCAACACTGTGGTGAAAATCATTCTCCACACCAATCCGCCAGGTGGGTGACCTGCAGTGCGCAACGACGGCATAAGGCAATGGGAATCTCACTCCTTCTGTTCTCCCCGGCACACCAGGTCACGAGCTGTTCCTGCGGTACCGTCGCTGCTTCTTCTCCATCCCCCTGCCGACACAAAGCCCCTCCACTCTACCCCCACCCCGGCCGTCCATGGATCACTCCTTCTCGGCCCCGCCTGCGTTAGACCCCTTCCCCCACACGCGCCCACAGGCGCCGCCGCCACCCGTTCCTGCGTCTGTTCCTTCTGCAATGGACCAGCCGGAGAGGACCGAGGCTGAGGACTCCTCGGCTGCTGTCGACAATCAGAGAGAGGCCGTCGACCTGCTGGGCCTCAATGGGCTAGATGAGGCGAGTGCGGACCCGTCAGCGCCAGAGGAGACGCCAGGCGGGCGGAGGGGGGGCCGCATCGACGGCGGGGGAGGGGGGGATATGAAGGCGGCTGGTGAGGGTGAGGGCGTGGGTGTTTGTGTCGGTTTCAAGGGTGTGGTTGAAGGTCTGTCGCCTCTGATCAGCATCGAGGGCACTGGCAGCTTCGCCCACGCACCACACACGGCTCCGGTTATGACGACAGCGGCTGTCAGCGATCGGCCAGCAGTGTCGAGTGAGCCGTCGGGCTTTGAGAAGGAGGTGGTGGTGGATCCCCATTCAGCCGCTATAGAGGCTCCTGATGAGGACAATCAGCCCCAATCTGGCGTGGCTTTTGTTGGGGCTGATGAAGACTTGATCGGCCTGGACTCTCCACCGACGGAAAGGACGGCTGGGACGAAGGCTGAGATGCCAGAGAAGCCAGCCGCGGACGACATTGCTGCTGCGGCGGCGGCGGCACCGACAGAGCTGGTACAGGAGCCGGCCCCTCCAGTACCGGCCTTCATCTCGCGAAACGACAGCGATGAAGGCCCCCAGACTGCATCAGGGTCGCCCCCACCCCTGCTGGCCCTCCCGAGGCCCTCCCTCACGCTCCCCGAGCCCCGACTCGCATCGCCAGTGCCGGCCCCGGAGCGAGCAGCGATATCCCTCTCCCCCTCCCCGGCAAGCTCGCCCGTGTCAGCATCACCTCTGTCATCCCCATCTGATGGGCTCGCGCCACGGGTGACGGCCTCTCAGAATCGCAGGCAGAGGCGACACAAAAAGAAACAGCGCAAGGGCGGTGCGCCGGGAGCGGCTCAGGCTCAACAGCCGTCGGCGAGTGGGCCCGCGTCAGCGTCATCTAGTGCTGCGGCTGCTGGCGTGCAGCCGAGTGAGGTGCACGTGTCGCTGGAGGCGGCACCGAGCCCACCTGCGGCTGCTGGTGTGGTGAAGATAGAGGACAGTCCCACCGTCAGCCCTGGGGCAAATGCGGAGGGGCCGTCATCCGCGGCTGGGACAGTGGGGGCTGCTACGCGTCGGCCGCCAGAGGCCAAGGACATCCATTCGTTCCTGAGGTCTCTCCACAGCGGCAAGCCGGCGCCCTCACCACACACGTCGCCGCCAGGGCCTGTGGCAGGACCGCCACCACAACCACCACCACCACTGCCCGCCAAGCCAGCGACGGACGAGGGAAGGACGAGCGGGCAAGCGCCAACTGGTGCTGTGTCCGCTGCTGTGCCTGCTCCTCCCCCTGCGCCACCTGTCAGTGAAGTACGGCCATCCGCAGACGAGAGGAGGGAGACCGAAGCAGCTTCAGAAGGTGGTCAAGCGGCCAAGAGAGTGCAGCTGTCAGTCGTCCCGTCGGAAAGGCCCCACCCATCCGTGCCGCCAGACGGTCCCCACGCACGAGAGCTGTCCCCGGCCCCTTGCGTGTCCGAGGCGGGTTCCTCCTCCGCCCCTCCCCCGTCCACCGCTTCAGGCCCGTCATCGAACCCATCTAGTGTCGTCGGCCCCCCATCACCAGCCCCTCTCCCCCCACCGGCCCGGCCCCGCGCACCTTCCTTCCAGTCGGTCAAAAGTGACAGCTGCGAGACGTATCGGACTGTGCGGTCGACGGCCAGTGGTGCCAGTGGCGTCAGCAGCTCCGGCAGCACCTGCTCGGGCACTGGCAGCGTCGACACCGTGGCGACGGGCTTCCTGCCCCCGCCCACGCCTCCGCCCTCAGTGATGCCGCCGTCAGCCTATGACCGGCAGCATTACGGCTATGCGGAGGGCGGCTTCGACGGGCCTGTCGGGGGCGGCTTTCTGCCCCGGCACCCGACGTCCTTCCAGCCGCCCAAGAGCCCTTTGCCGTACACGCGCCCTCTGAGCTGCTGGCGGCAGGAGAGGGAGAGGGAGAGGGAGGAGGGCAAGGGCGGCAATGCTGCCGCTGGTGGTGGTGGGCACCGGGCTGCCCTGTCGCCGCCGTGTGACGTCAGGGAGGGGGAGGCCGCCGGGGGAGGGTCCGAGAAGAGCGACAAGGGGAGGCGCCACGAGGACGAATCGGCCACCCCGGGAGAAGAGCAGAGGACGGGCCGTCCACCCACCGCTGACACACAAGGGGAGAGGAGGTATCAAGCAGAGACGGCCCCACGACCGTCATGTGAGGGTGGGGCGACGGGAGAGGGAGAGGGCGGTGGGGCAGCGCGTCCCGGCAGCTCCGCTGCGGGTGCTGGTGCTACGACAGCAGCCCCTTTGGCTGAGCTCACGGTGTCGACGAGCTGGCCGTCGATCCAGCGTGCGTTGGGCGAGTGTGGGAAGCCGCTGGTGGTCAATCAGCGGTACGGCATAAGCCAGGGCACATCCACCTACTACTACGCCTACCCAGGTACCCACGGAACGGGGCGAAGTAATCGTCTGCAGAATCACCCTATCAGAATACCTATGCTGTGCTGTGCTGTGCATTCCTTTCTTGTCAGGTCTGATCTTTGAGGTGTTGGCCAACTCGTACATCGGCTCAGTGACACTGTTCCAGTGCTCTCAGCCGCACACCCTTCGCTCCCCGATGCCCTCCCCAGCCCCCCCTCCCCCATCCCCCTCTCCATCCCCATCGCGGCCGCCATCGCGCCCCTCCGTGTCTTCGCGCAACACTTCGCCTGCACGCCAGAGGGACAGCGCAGCCGCGGCGGCCGACAAGAGAGAGAGGGAGGAGGACCGGCAGAGAGAGCAGAGGGGCGATACGAGTGCTTTCAAGTAGTAGATGGGTAGCTGGCCTACGGCAAGGCATGCAGGGGCATGCAGTGAGATGGGCTTTTTCTGTGATTGTTGGTTTGTCCTGATGGATGGACGGATGGGTTTATTTGTACAGGTTGGTTGGTTGGCCTGGCGGTCACTTCAACTGCCGGGCAGACGGGCAGGCAGCCAGGCAGGCAGCCAGGCGTGCTGTAGACTACCTACTGAGGATGAAGTGGAACCAGAGAGAGAGAGAGAGAGGGAATGAGGAGGGAGGGAGGGAGGGACACATCAGCCAGCCAGCCTGTGTGGGTCCGTCCCTTGTACCATATACTCTGACCCACATACATATACATTGACATACCTATATACATACGCTGTGGCTGCTCCTGCTGTTCCTGTCTGTCTGAATGGGAACGCCGGGAAGCCCTGCCCTGCATGTGATGTGATTTTGGAGGAGGAGGAGGAGGAGGAGAGAGAGCGGGGTCGGTCCGGTCTGTTTGGGCAAGGCTCAGCTGCTTGGTTAAGCGTGTCCCTTCCTCCATGCATGCCATGCCATGAGTGTTTCCACCCAACTCACTTTTGTCCCTTGCTTCCACACCGTCCCGTCCACACACACATGACATGATGACATGATGGATGGACACGACAACCCAACCCATCCCACCACTTTTCTCAAGCCACTCACTCATTCACGGTTTTTCCCGTCATCAGTCAGTCGATCGTCTCGTCGCCCACCACGCCAAGCCACGAATCGCATGCACCGCACCCACCACACAACACAAAGTAAGTATCGCTTCCTTTGTACAGTAGCATATCAATGAGTGATATGGATCGATCAGAGAGCTGACAGGGAGGGACACGTACAGGCAGGGGAACCGGGGTTAGGAATGGGAATGGGGTCGGGTCGGCGTAGCGTCATGTCACTCACCGATTGGTCGTCCCGCGCGCCACGTGTCATCGGGCGTCGGGGTTTTTTGCTGTCACTCCGGGGGGGGGGG